ATAGTGCCACTGCACAGGCCAGCTGAGAAAGACTGGTATGGAATGAAGAAGATGCAGTTTGCTTGAGTAAAACAGATCCCTGCAAAAAGGTATCACATAGAGACCCAGAATAATTAATAATGACACCAATGGTTTGGGTTACACGTGACCAATTTGTCTGACTGTTGGTTGCAATGGGCAGCAGCACAGACACTATCTTCTTTATGATCTAATGTCTATGGACTACTGTCAAACAGCTATCTGAGTTGTGTCAGGAAAAGAAGTGATTGGACAGGTTGACAAACCTTGCCCAATTACTGCTCTTCCTTAGATAAAGCAGTACTGAGATGTTTGAAATAAATAATAACATAAAAAGTGGGCGATTAACACAAAAAATGTTGTTAAATATGTAAAACTGTTAGCGCTATATAAATCCTGTATTATAATAACCAAGTATGAACTATTTATAAATAAAGGTCCATAACTCAAATAAACTGTCCCCACACCATGTGGAATAAATATTGCAGTAGCTCTATCCATGATTATTCAGACAGCACCCATCACATCAGAACAGTAAAGACACCGTACTCACTAAAAGATGATGACCTAATAAAGGTCAGCAAGTGCTGTTTTTTTAAAAAACAAAAATTAATTTGCACTCACATGGAATAATGCCCAAGCTCGGGCACTAATGTATACAGCCTATACAGATTATGCTCTCAGGATATCAGTCAAACTGGAACCAGAAGTGCAGCAATAACTCTATAAATTTGGCTGTGTACATAGTGCGGTCTGAGGCGCAGAATAGTACAAAGCTCTGAATTGCATAGTAAACATAAAAAAACATAAAAAAATCCCTCTGTTCAGATAATTACATTATAAACCTTCTATTATAAAAATACTATTTAGGCGCTCTTTAATAGATGCAATGGCATCCATGAATAATAATCCATAACACCATCTAGTGGTGGAAAATAAATATAAATTTCTATAAAATATACAATAACCACTTGCCAAATGCCCACAGTACTTGTACTGCAGGCGGGTGCCATGTACAGGCCGAGCGATGTACTGGTTCATCGCTCTGGCCATACTAACACTAATGCCCCCCAAGACCACTGTGTCCACCGGACACAATTGAATACGGATCCTGGTAATCAGGAATCGGTGATCATGTGATCGCTATGCGATCACATGATCACAATTTCAACAAAGCTTTTGTGAATCAATCTGATTCATAACAGCTTTACTTTCCTTCCTAGTGAGCTGTGATAGGTCCACAACTCTCTCATGGTAAATATGCCAATCACAGGACCCTGTACCATGTGATTAATTTGTAGCCAATCACAGATCACTTAACCTATTCATGACAGTTTAAAACAATCATTGCATTGCAGATGCAATGATCTTTATGTATCTTTACTATGGTAACATTGAACTACTCTGATGAAAGTATATTTTTTAAAATAGTAACAAACAGGAAAAATAACATTAAAATAGTAAAATAGAGAATTTTTTGAAAATTGTTTTAAGGTTTCTTTGTTTTTTTAAGCTACTTGCCGACAACCTGCCTGCAATGTGTGGGTGAGCTGCAGCTCTGGGCAAAGCGACGAACCCTCACATTGTGATCTATTTCTTGATGTAAGAGCGCATCCCCCCCCGCTGCCCCCCTATTGGTTAAGGGAGAGAGAAGAAAACACCACACTGTGAATTAAAGCACTAAATTTTATTATTATTATTATTATACAGGATTTATATAGCGCCAACAGTTTGCTCAGTGCTTTACAACATAACGGGAGACAATACAGTAACAATACAGTTCAATACAAGAGGGATTTGAGGGCCCTGCTCCTTGGAGCTTACAATCTAGGAGGGAGGGGCTAGTGGTACAAAAGATAGTAACTGTGGGGGATGGACTGGTTGGAAGAGTAGAAGATTCCAGTATTCGCTGAGGGCAGGATAGGCTTCCCTGAAGAGATAGGTTTTCAGAGATCTCCTAAAAGTGAGCAGAGTAGGCGATAGTCTGATAAATTGGGGTAGAGAGTTCCAGAGGATGGGGGAAGCTCTGGAGATGAGCATGGGAGGAGGAGACAAGGGAGCTAGAGAGTAGGAAGTCTTGCGAGCAGCGGAGAGTATGGTTTGGGTGATATTTAGAGACAAGATCGGTGATGTAATTTGGGGCAGAGTTATAAATGGCTTTATACGTTATTGTTCGTGTTTTGAATTTTATCCGTTGGGCATATTTTTACACACACACACTAGCACATTTACCACTTTGATTGGCCCTATTAACTCTTTGATCATCCCTGTTACTCAGCCAATGCCATTAGTACAGTGTCAATACTTCAGTGATCAGTGAAAAAATTCTATATACTGCCACTAGCGACATCAGATAGCATCAGGGTCAGTTAGTGCCCCTCCCAGCCAGGGTCAGCTGGCATTTATATTGCCCACACACTAACGCACTCACGCTATAGGTTGCTGATCACCATCATTATTTGTATAACATTTGTACAAATCAATATATTAATCACAAATAGAACTATACCAGTGCCCCCTTAGTATAGTGTCCCCAAAAATGCAGCATTAGCAGGATCAGCCCGGTTTACTGCCAGCACTAGTGTTTAGCCCGTCTGCTGTTTTTTCACTGAAGATTTGTATCAATTAATTGTGGGCCAAAGCAATTTATACGCACAACAATACATCGCGCCCACCCAAATTCAGCTCTTGCAAGACAATTCAAATGGAAACCTATCATGGTTTCCGAATGTAAAACTTATTTGGGCCTAACCTTCAACATGGGCATTACAAAAAAGAATAAGTTGCAGTCATATTGGTCCATCATATGCCCATGTTCTCTGCCGCTATGGCCAGGTATAGATATCAGACGAGAATGAGCTTCATGCATTTAAGTAATTATACCAGCATGATGACTGCACCCATATCAGGTAATTAGCTGCTGGATCACCTTTGCAAGCAGGGGGAAGGGACCACCCTCCTGCCACCTTCCACAGCTTTCTCGTGCTCTCCCGGTCCACTAGGAAGCCGACCATAGAGTTGATTGGAGACTGGAGGAAAAAACTAAAGCAACAAGCATTTCATAATTTCGGTTTCATCGGATATAAACAACGCCATTTTTAATTGGAAAAGCATCTGATCACACCGATCTTGGTGTGATCAGATGCTTTGGGTAGAGGAGAGATCTAGAATCTAATAGACCCCAGATTTCTCAGAAAAGAGTACCTGTAACAGCCTATTGCTATCACAAGGAATATTTGCATTTCCTGTGATAACAATAAAAATGATTAAAAAAAATGAAAGGGACAGTGTAAAAATAACAAAAAAGTTAAATAATTAACCCCTTGTGCTCACGTGAAAAGGGAAACGCAAGCATCGGTTCCATTTCTTTATGTAAACAGAGATTGCACCATGCATGTGAGGTATCACCCTGAATGCCAGTAACTTTTAAAGGCATTTAAAGCATCACCTATGGATATTAAGAATATATGCACAGTAGTTTGTCACCATTGCGTGGTCGTGCGCAGTTTTAAAGCATTTTTGGTATCTATTTACTTGGCGTAACATTATATTTTATCAAACAATTGGGTAATATATTGTGTTTTTGTGCATTAAAATTCAAAAAAGTAGGGGCGCATGCGCGGCATCCCAAGATGGTGGACGTGTGAAGGGTGAGCTCAGCCAATCCTCAGTCTGCAACGGCCTCCCGACACCCTTCTGAAGCAACCACAGACCCAGGAGTGCTCTTCCCCGCTTCATGAAGTCCTCAGGCACACTCATGGGCAAAATCAGGCGATGAAAGCCCCCACACCGCCTCCTCCGGATCCGGAACCTTCCGTGCTGGATCGCTTTTTCACTCGAGTAGTTGTGGAAGCCTGAGTGAGTGCTCCGGAGAGTCCACGGAAATGGCAGGGACAGATGGTGGATATCTTGGAGGACAAATTGCAGGTATTTTTACATAATATCGCCCGCACTATCTCTGATGAAATTGGGAAATTGGCCCAGGAGCTCAGGGGGGAGATTACCCAATTGGGAGACCACATAGACCACCTTGAATCAAAGATTGGTGCAATATGTGCATGTCCTAGAAGAGGATAATGTGAATCTGAAACATTCCGTTTCTCAGTTACAGCTCCAGCAGGACGACCTGGAAAACAGGGAGTGCCGCCAGAATAGTTGTGTTTGTGGCATCTCTGAAACGGTCCCTGACTCCCAACTTGAGTGTTACTTGCTGTCTCTGTTTACCACTCTGGATCCTAAAGTCCCAGATGCTGATTGGCGCATGGATTGGACCCATATATCATTAGGCCCAAGGCCTCCTGAGGGTACTAGGCCAAGAAAGAGATGTTATCATTTGTTTTCATTACTTTGACAGCAAAGAAGCTTTGCTCGCCTCTACCCACAACAAGACCTCCCTGCAATTTAAGGGGGACAAGCTTCAGATTTTCAGTGATCTATCCCCCATTACTTTGGCAAATAGACATGTTTTGAAACCGGTTACCACTCATCTCCAGCAGCACCGTATCACTTACCAGTGGGGATTTCCTTTTAAGCTTGTTGTCTCCAAAAATGACTCCAAAGTCTTACTCCATGATCTACATGAAGCTGACTTTTTCTTCAAACAGTTGGGACGTCCTCCCCTGCCTGAAGAGACCCTTTTGCAACCCCCTATGCCATCCATGTCTTCTGCTACTTCACACAAGATCTGGATGCTTACTAAACTCGTGAGGAAGCAGTTTCTACACACTCCCCAACTGCCCCGACTTCCTGGCTCAGAGGGCCTTACCACCTGACTTTTCTAGATATCAGGTTTTCTGCCTTGCTAAATGAGCTCTTATGCTTCCACGTGTGCCTTAGGAATTTTTTCTATTTTCTCTCCCTCATTTGTATGTCCTGATTACATCTGTTAAGGGGTTATCTGAGGTAGGCTCCTGTCATTTAGGGACAGCTGCCGTGTTGCCCCCTTGTGCATCAGGCAGGGGCGGACTGACAACTCATGGGGCCCCCGGACAATAGGGGATCATGGGGCCCCTGTGTCCTTGCCCAAACTCAAAAAAGCCTATGAAAAAGGTACCAGGTGTATCTCATGGGGCCCCCCACTGACCCCGGGCCCTCGGGCACTGCCCGAGTTTCCAAATGGTCAGTCCGCCCCTGGCATCAGGCTTTCAGCCCTGATGACTTGGGATATCTCCGATATCCCGGGTATTTATCTTTGATGATATGGGTGGCTTTATTTATGGCCGTAGTCCCTGTGGCCTCTGTTCATTCATTTGTTCGTACTAGGCTTGTTGTCATGATAATCACCTGGTTCTCTGTCTCAGCTGTGTAACCTGAGCATACAGAAAAATTATCATCGATGAGACAAAATAGAAAACAACAGTTATACCCATGACTGTCTCATGATTACTTTATGGCTGTTGTAGTATAATGTCAAAGAGCTCAATTCAATCCAAAAATGGTGGATGGTTCTGACGGAGTTCAGATCTTTGGGAGCAGATATTATATTCATTCATGAAAACCAATTCAAACAGGATGGCTCCTTTCCTCCAAGAGCTTTCCACAATCCTATTTGGCCTTTGATCCCTCCAGGAAAGCTGGAGTAGCTATTTTGATCTGGAAAAACTGCTCCCTGATATGTCCTGTTGGAAGTTATGTACGAGGGCTCTCTATTTGTACTTTTGAATCTGTATGCACCCAACTCTGGTCAGCTGATATTTCTCTCTCAGACTCTAGACAAGTTATGTTCGACATCTACTCCTAGTATGATCATTGGGGGGGATTTTCATTTAGTTATGTCTCCCCATAAGAATAGGAAGGTGCTCTTTGCCTCTCCCCCATCGAAGAGACTATGCTCCTCCTCAACGGCTTTCCACAAACTTATTTGGGAGCATTGCCTCTGTGATGCCTGGCAGGTCAAATATCCTCTCCATAGGCAATTCACATTTTATTCTACTCCACGCATGTTCTCTTGATTATATCATTTTTTTCACCGCCCCACTGATCCCCTTTTTGGTTTCTTCGGAGATCAACCCGATGACTTTGTCGGACCATGCTTCACTGTCACTTGATCTCCCTAACTCCACCCCCAGGGTCTGACATTGGCGCTTTAATGAGAGTTTTATGCTCTCGGAATAACTTTGAGAGGAGCTCTCTCAGGGTCTGGATACTTACTTTAATGTTTGCTCAGTCTCTTCATCTTCTACATTCTAGGAGGCCCATATGGCTGTAATGAGAGGCCTCTGTACTTCCATGGGCACCCGTTTAAAGAAGGCCTCTGTTTGTGCCAGGAAATCCCTTTTACGCCAATTATCCACAGTCGAACGTCGATTGCTTGACTATCTATGCCTTGGTTACAGAAAGTTTCCCATATATGTGATCAAATTAGGGCTATCGACATACATAAAACTGCTCAGTCTCTCGCCTGGGATACGCAAAAGTTTTATGAGTTCTCTAATAAATCGCACTGTATGCTCATGGATAGACTTAAATCTCAAAAGTCCTCTTCCTTACCGACTCATTTGCTCCAGTCTGATGGCAAACCCACATATGACCTGTATGTTATGGCTGAAATATTTGGGGAATACTATGAGAAGCTTTATAACTGCCTTACCCCTGATATTCATCCTCCCCTTCAGATGGCCGCGTTTTGATGCCTTTTTTGACTCCTTACATTTACCATGTTTATCACCCTCCGATGTTGCAGTTTTGAACGGAATTTCCATCGAAGAATTATTGGATGTTGTTAAACACCTTCCCACTCACAAGTCCCCAGGAGAGGGTGGTCTTCCCTACTTGTATTACAAGTCCTTTATTAGCATCTTAGCCCCTCATCTTCTAACTTTTTTTCAGGATCCTCTGAAGGGGTCTCACTAGCACAATCATTTTACATGCGTATATATCTCTGTGATCCCGAAGCCAGACAAGGACCATTCCCTTCCAGATAATTATTGCCCCATAGCCTTATTAAACTCTGACTACAAAAATTTTCATGAAAATACTAGCCAATAGATTGGCCAAATGTATCTCCAAGCTTATACACAGAGACCAGGTGGGCTTTGTCCCAGCTAGACAAGCTGCAGAAAACACCAGGAGGACCATTGACTTGATCGACCTTGTCAATAAGTCCCTGAATACTACTCTCTTGTTGAGCTTGGATGCCCAAAAAGCATTTGACCGATTAAGGTGGCCTTATACTGTATGTTGCTAGTCTTGGAGAGATTTGGGTTTAATGGTCTGTTTGTGGCTGCTTTAAAAGCCCTCTACTCCACTCCCTCTTCCCAGGTCAAATTAGCTTTGTTCTTATCACCTTCTTTTCTGATGTCTAATGGTACATGCCAGGAAAGCCCTCTTTCCCCCTTATTGTTTATCCTCTGTTTGGAACCCCTGGCTATAGCTATCAGATCCAACCCTGATATCCATGGGGTACGTACCCACAATAGTGATTTTAAGATGTCTTTGTTCGCTGATGATATCTTGTTGACACTGACGGAGTCCCACACTACTCTACCTGTTCTACATCGTACTCTCCAGCTCTTTGGCGCCCTGTTAGGCTATAAGGTTAACACATCTAAAACTGAAGCATTACTGCTCCACATACCTTCTGCAATTTATCTTCTCTTCAATCAAATTATCCCTATCGCTAGTGCCCCCACTCCTTGAGGTATTTAGGTACCAACCTTGCTGCCTCCTACCACTGCGTTTATGAAGCTAATTGTTCCCCCTTTTCTTGCTATTTTTCAAATCTTGAAGTCTTGGGACAACCTTGCCATCTCCTTCGGCGGTAGGATTAATGTGCTGAAAATGACCATACTGCCTAAGCTTTTGTATCTGTTTGAGATGCTTCCTGTACCTATTCCCATGTCTAAGCCATGTTCCCTTCAGAAATCCTTCCTCCATTTTATGTGGCATAATAAATCTCACCGAATTGCCATACAGTCCTTCTCTCACCACTATCTAGGGGAGTTCTGGGGGCTCAAGATCTTGTGTCGTATTATTTGGCCACTCACCTCCGTACACTTGTCATGTGATCCTCTCAGCATCCTCCTAACAAATGGGCCGAGATTGAATGACTGCAACTGGGTCCATTGCACCCTTGTTTTTTACTATGACCAATACAAGTATCTCCTGATCGGGCCCATGCATTTTACATTGTCTATATGGAGGCAGTGTAGGGTTAGATTTCCCCTGTCCTCTCTTTGTTCACCTCTATGACCAATGTCATATTTAATCCTAATCTCCCAGATAGTTTGACCCGAGACCGTATAAGTCCCTGAGCCAAGGCCAACCTATTTCAACTGCGACATTTGGTCCACCCAGTGACCCGAAAGCTTAGACCCTTTTTTGAGTTACAGAAAGCTACTCATATGTCTTCCCATCAGTATTATGTCTACCTACATATATGACACTTCTTTCTCCAAAATTCCTTCCCTGACCCTAGAGAAGCCTACTCTTTTTGAATGCATCTGCATTCAAGCTCCATACCAACGGGCCTAATTTCCTCTATCTATAAGTTGCTTCAAGACGCCTGTCCCCTTTCTTCTGATACACATCTTTATATGTGAAAGTAGCCTTGAATCCTTCAATGTAATATTGCCTTACATCAATGGAGCAGGATTTGGAAGGCTGCCTCTAGGTCCTCTATATGTGTGGTATATAAAGAAAACACCTATAAATTTTTGATGTTTTCATATAAGACTCCTGAGGTTCCCCATGCTTGCAATCCGGGTGTTTCTCCTGTGTGCTGGTGATGTGGTGAGGACACTGGCACTCTTTTACACATTTTCTGGCTTTGCCAACACATTGCACCTTTCTGGAGAGAGGTCCTTAGCCTTTTGCAGCTACTTTTACGAGTCCATATCCCTTTTGATCCCATCCACTTTTTACTGGGCCTGCGTTTTACAAACCTCTCCAAATCTGCCAAGAAGCTATCCTCTCATGTCTTGACAGAGGCCAGGAGAACCATTCCTATGCATTGGCTATCTACTACACTTCCTACGCGGTTGGAATTGGTGCGGGTTATTGCTGAGATTAGAAGAATGGAGTACCGCACTGCTATGCATGCTAACTCTTGAAGTAGTTTGAGAACCATGGGATCATTTTGTTTCCGATATCTCTACTCAGATGTCTGATACTGCTGGCTAATTCACTATTATGCATTGACATTGGATGTATATGCACTTCATTGACGAGGCTATTTTTTTTTTGTTCTTTCATTGATTTGTAGCTGTTATTTCACAACTCTATGCAACTCTTTGTTGTATGTCCTTTAAAACTCAATAAAAAATAAATAATAATAAAAAAAAATTCAAAAAAGTATATTTTTTCCAAACAATTTGCATTTGAAAAATAGTGCAAATACTGTGTGACATAAAAAATTGCAACACCCACCTTTTTTTTCTCTAAGGCCTCTGGGGATTAAAAGTAATTTTCTACCAAAAATGTTTTTGTCATGTAAACAAAAATTGTCAGAAAAGGCTTTGTCTTCAAGTGATTAGAAGAGTGGGTGATGTAAGCTTCTGGCCCTGAAATGCCAGGATAGTAGAAGCACCCCCCAAATGACCCCTTTTTGGAAAGTAGGCACTACAATGTATTTGCTAAGAAAATGAAGAAAGAAAATGAAAATTTATTTATTTTCTTTTCTTTTTTCAAAACCTTGTGACAAAAAATTATATTTGCAAAATATTCACCATGCCTCTTATCAAATTCCTTGGGGTATCTACTTTCCAAAAAGGGTCGTTTAAGAGGGTGTTTGTACTATCCTGGCATTTCAGGGCCCCCGAAACTGTGATAGGTAGTGAGGAAGTGACATAAGGAAATATGCCCTTTGAAAGCTTGAAGGTGGTCATTGGATTTTGGGGGCCTGTATATGGCTAGGTTGCCAAAAATTCTTTCACATGTGGTATCCCCATACTCGAAGAAGTAGCAAAATGGGTTTTGGAGTGTTATTCCACGTACGCCCATGGCGTGTGGGAGCAATATATCATTTAAGTGACAACTTTGTGCAAAAAATAAATGTAATTTTCAAAACATTTGTGGCAAAAAATAGTCTTTTTTTGTTTATATTACAAAAAATTAAAAGCCCAGTGGTGACAAAATACCACCAAAAGAAAGAACTCTTTGTGTGAACATACATTTCCTTTGGGTACAGCGTTGCCTGACCACGCAATTACCAGTTAAAATAGTGCAGTGCTGAATAGTGAAAAATGGCCTGGTCAGGAAGGTGGGGGCGCCTTCCGGGACTGAAGTGGTTATAAAATAAATTACATATTTATATGCAAAGTAATATATTCTTCCCCATCTTTCCAAAGATATGCCAAATGGATAGGTATATGCTATCCTACAAATAAGCAATATTAGACAATATTAAAATTTAAAAAAATTACAAATAAAGAAATTATTTAAACAAATAAAAATACCCCCTATAGAAATTAAAACTTGGTAAGAAAACAATTTAATTCAATATCTACACTGAGACCAAGTCCAGTCAATGTACCTAACTTTTGTATCTGCTTGGTCTCATTCTGGGACACCATTTTTTTTGAAGGTCAGTACCATAAAATCTTAAAAGGAATGAGTCCTTGTTGTGCCTAAGTTGGAAATTATTGGAAACATCATGTTTCCGATACCAATTTTTTATATTGGTTATATGTTCACTAATACGTTTAGATAGTCAATACACAATACATTTGCTGATGTGTCCCTGCAAATAGCATTATGTAGGAAGAACTACCCAGAAACTGTCACGTATAATAAATTTGTTAATTTTGTAGGATTTGCTCATAACAGAGGAGACAAAACTATCCGATTTTTTTCACCTCTTTCCTGGGTAATCCTACATGCTATTGAATTGAGCCCTTGACATTATACAACAACAGCCTTAAAGTCATCATGAGACAGTCATGGGTAAAACCATGTAACAAAAGCTATATCAAATACCTGATCTATATTTCCTCCCGTCTTTAGCAGATCCTCCCTATTCATTTCACCCACCTTTTCTCTAATAGATACAAAATGTTTCTTTTTGTATAATTTTCGATAAACCTGTTAGTCAACACATTAGTTTGCATCAGATGGTCACAGTTTCTGTTACAAATCCATTTTATGCACATGAACTGGCCTTCGGGGACTGCTTTTGTCTATCCAGGGTGATGGATAGACAATCCCCTCATGTTTTGCATTGTATTGGTATTGTTCTGTCACATGTTCTTTCCCCCTTTGTAATGTACAGTTCTGAGCGAACTATAGGCGCTTTATAAATACTGTATAATAATAATGGTAACTCCTGGTGGAAATGTAACCGTTTCTGTCGGTCCCTTTAAAATGTGCATGGGTCCACAAATATTGTTCCTCTTTAAAGATTTCCAGATCCAGAAAATTAACTAGATTCTTATCATAATTACTGGTAAATGTGATACCATACTGGTTTGAATTAGGGTATTCCAAAAAGATTTCTAGATCTTCCCCCTACCCTTCCCATAACATCATTATATTGTCTATATATCTTTTATACATTTTTAATTGAGGCCAGTCACCAGTAAAGACATTTTCTTCTTCTCATTTATTTAGAAAGATATTTGCTTGTGGAATATATAGCTCCTTTGGCTACCCTTTTAATCTGGCTATAAAAATCTCCTTTATGCCAAAAATAATTTGACATGACCTTATCACGTGCTTCTAATATAAATGGGAATTGTGATTTTTTTAGATCTGATACATCTTCCAAGGCCCACTTAGTGGCTTATAAAGCATCCCTTGGCTTAATATTGGTATAAAGTGACTCGATATCCACTGTCACCAAATAACTTTGATCACTAACACGGACAACTTTTAGGATATTATTCAGATCTTTACTATCTTTTAAGAATACCTTCCCTTTACTGGTTAAAGGTTTTAGGTATAAATCAACATATTGGCCCAATCTAGAATATATGGAGTTGATACTACTAATAAAGGGTCACCCCAGTGGGCTAAGTTTGTTATTATGAACTATCATTTTTTGAGGTATGACTGGTATCCTGGGGGGTTTAATTGTCAAATATTTAGCTTCATTTTTGTCCAAAACCTTTCTCTTGGCTCCATTCTTCACCAGACATTCTGTTTTTTAAAATTGCTAGTGGGATATCCTAATAGCTTTTTATATGTAGTTGTGTCATTCACTATTTTCTGTAATTCCTTATCATACATCTCCTTAATAAGAATCATTTAGCCCTCAACCTTTGTCCAGTCTAATGAACACACCTTTCCTACCTTCCAAAGCTTTTACACCTTTAATATCTTTAACCTTCCTTTTCTTAAAAGTGGGAAAATTTTTAATCTCTCCTTGCACCATGTTTTTAAATACTTCAATATACTGATATATTGATTTTTAACCCACTATGTACAAATCCATCATTCATTTCTTCTCTGGTTTTCAGAAAAAAAACTTCTTAATATTAAGTTTCCTAGCAAATCTTCATGTCTACATAGACTTCAAACTTATCAAGAAATTTGTCTGAATCAAGTTTTTAAACCTTCCCTTAATAAATCCAGTTCCTGTTCAGAAAATTCCACATCTAAAGGATTAAAATTGCTTGTATCTAATTTTCCCCTTTTTTCCTTTTCTTTCTGCCCCCTCTGCACCCTCTCCTTCTTTTCTTCCCCAAAGGGTGTTGAAATACTGGGGAGTCCCTTGTGGATACAGTGGGCCAGGGGTGTGATAAGCCCTGTAAAGGCTCTTTCCATCCTCTCCATTCCTCCCCCTTGGTGATAT